CTAATAAAGGGTAACTACAAAAAACCCAAAGCAAACATATTCAATGGCATAATGCTGAAAGTCTCCTTTGGGATCAGGAACAAGATTAAGAAGTCTGTTATCGTTAATTCTCTGCAACATTGAACGAGAGGTTTTAGCCAGCGAAGTATGGCAAGAAGAAATAAAAGGTGTTAGGATTGGGAAGGAAGAATTAAAACTCATTATTTATAAATGACGTGGTTGAGTAGATAGAAATTCCAAAATAACCTACAGATACATTGTTTGAATTAGCTGGTGACTTTGGCAAGGTTGCTGGATATAAGGTTAGTATAAAAAAATCATTAAAAATAAGAAGAAATAATAAAAACAAGTCTTTACATCAGCAACAGTTAGAAAACTAAAAATGTGGAGCTATATACAATATCCAATATAAGATATCTACACAGAAAACTATACAACACTATTGGGAGAAATTAAGGAAAATTTAAATAAATGGGGGAATACTCATGTTCATGTATTAGAAGCCTGAATGTCATAAACATGTCACCTCTCTGGATTCAGTGCCATTCTAATCACATTGACAAGACGTGGAGCTGGATAAACTTGTTCTAACCCATGTGCAGAAAAGCAGAGTCAAGACCAGCCAAGCAGCCTTGGAGCAAAAGTACCAGGTGGCTGCTTTCATGTAGCAGATAACGCAGTGTTTCACAAAGCTCCAGCAATTAAGACGGGGGCACTGGGCAAGGACAGAGAGGTCAATAGGATGACGGCATCCAGAAGCAGACCTACACACATGTATATATGGGAGCTTGGTTTACGACAAAGGAGGAGAGAATTGCCCTTTAAATACTCTAGGGGGCAATTAGATATTCGTATGTCCAGATGGAAAAACCTCTCCTTTGCACCATCCACAAAAGTCAGTTCCAGCTGGATTGTGCGTCTAAACGTGAATGTAAGACAGCAAAGCTTTAGCAAGACGACAGTGTCTCCTGCTTCCAGGAGTCCCTGTATCTTCAGCCCCTTCCCCTGCCACCACACTGTCACATCTTCTGCTCTGACCCTCCTGCCTCCCTTTAAAAGGACTCTGTGGTGACTTGGGGCCCAACAGAGAACCCAGGATCACCTCCCATCTCAGGAGCCCTCACTTGATCACAGCTGCACGGTCCCTTTGGCCACGTGAGGTTTCACTCCCAGGTTTCGGGGGTTATGATGTGGATACCTGTGGGGACATTTTTCAGCCCAGCCACAGAGGGGATGGTCATTGGGAATGAAGCAGGCCCAGGGGAGCCCAGGAGAGGAGAGGGAGCAGCTGGCACAAAGGCCGGGGCTGAGAAAAGGAGTGGAGAGGACGGGGAGGAGAGCAGCCGGGGATCCTGGAAGGCCTGGTGAACGCCAACCAAGAGCAGAGCCGCTGAGCCGGGAGATGAGAGTCTGGCTGCCTCTGGGGGGAGGGGAGGGAAGTGACTGGAGGCGGGACGCTGTGTATAGACGCAGAGCTGGGGCAGGTGTGGGCAGGCGGGCCCCAGCCCCGGGCACCCCAGGCGCTGCTCCAGGCTGGGGTAACAGTGCCAGCTCCCCTGCTGTCTCCCTCGACTCTGACCCGTTCCAGAATTTCCATCTTGGTTCACCATGCTCTGGATCCGCTAATCCTGGAGGGGCCAGGGAGGGACTCTGGAGGGGAGCAGCCACCCCTCCTGGAGATCCTGGCGCGGCCCCACGGCTTGGGCAGTGGAGGTGGGTCCTGCAGCAGCTTCAGCCACAGCTGCCTGCTCCAGCCCAGCCTGAGGGGCAGCCAGGAGCTCGGCCCTGGGCCCCTGGAGGCAGCCGCGAGCTCACGTGTGACCCCCAAGTCCTTCTTTCTGGGCCTCAGGTTCCGCCTCTGTCCAGTGGGGTGTTTGGTCACAGGGAGCTGTGACGCTCCTCCGGGCCTGTCCTTCTGGAGTTCCAGGAGTCTGTGGGACGCTGGGCTGGAACAGGGGTCTGCTCCCTGCAGGAGCTAGCCTCATCAGCACTCTGTTTACAGCTTCCAGGACTGACAGTGGAGGGTGGGCTGCGGGCCCAGCCCTGGGGGTTGCGCCAGGAGCCTGGAGGGTTGCACAATGGATAGCTCTGGCGGCAGCTGGTCGGCTCCAAAAAAGTTGTTTTTCACCAAGTGCAGCTGGAGGAGCCACCGGGAGGCCAGCTCTGCCTGGCCGGGGGCGAGCAGCTGGCAGAGGACAGAGGCCTGGAACACCACAGAGCCCACTTCCACGGCTGCAGGGCCAGCCGGGGCCAGCGAGTGGGCAGCCCCCAGCGTCGGGTGAGGGTCCCTCCTCCTGGGGGTGCAACCACCGGCCCCGCTGGATGCAGAAGCTCGGAGCTGAGGGCCTCGCAGAGGTCAGCCAGAGAGGGACAGAGGCCACTGCCCAGGCCGCTGACTCTGGAGCCCAGAGCTCCCCATATCCACCCACCCATTTCACACATGGACAACCTGAGGCTAGTGGGGGTCGGCCATGGTCAGCTGGGAGCTGGTGGCGGGGAGTGAGAGGATGTGAAGTGACATTTCTGGGCAGACCCTGAGTCAGGAACCTTCTTTGTGACATCTAGTCCACTGCTTACTGCAGCAGACAGGGCCTGGCTTCCACCTGGCCCCCTCTGAGCAGCAGCCACCCCCCGAGGCCTGAGCCTGCCCCTGCCCCTCCCCTGCTGCTCCAGACCTCAGGGCTAAGGAAGGTCTGTGAAATGCCCTGGGGTGGGAGCCAGTGGCCTGTCTGGGGCTCTGGAAATGTGTGGACCGATGGGCATTCACTGGGCAGGTGCATGCCCCCACCATGCCCCTAGCACCTCCGAGCTCACCTGCAGCCATGAGGGACAGCTCTGGGCTGGCTGTCGGATGGAGCCTGCATCCCTCTGCCCCTCCACCCGAGGGTCTCTCCAGCACCACAGACACTAGCTCAGCCTTGGGCAGGGCAGCCAGAATGCCCGGGACCTGACACCCCCCAGGGCAGGCCCCGTGCATGCAGGAGGGAGAGAGGGAGGTGTCTGTGGGTGCACACGGCCGGCCCCCCACGCCCGGGGGTAGCCTCCCAGCTCATCTGCATGGTTCCTCAGAGCATCTCCAGAGGCATCAGCTCAGGGCCACGTGTCTCATCTGGCTGCTCTCCCCGCTGCCTCAGTCTCCGTGCTGTGGACTGGATTGTGTCCACCCAGGATGCCCAAGCCATAACCCCAGTGATGCAGAGGTGGGGCCTTTGGGAGGTGAGTAGGGCGAGGCAAGGGGGCCAGCTTCATGACGAGGCTGCTGCCCTCACAAGAAGCGACGCGAGAGGCCCCAGCCCACCCCCACCGTGTGAGCGCACACTACAGCCAGCCAGGACCCTGCCTGGCGACAGAATGGACCCCGCCTCCATCTTCCAGATCCCTCTAAGCCGCCTGGCCCTGGACAAGTTCACGGCTTGGCTCTCAACGCCCAGCTTCCAGCTCACCCTCTCCCGAGTTCAGGCCCACACACCGGCGGCCTCGTCCAGACTCCTGCCCCACGCCCGCCCCGGCTCCTTACTCTCAGGAGCCTTGGTCTGCAGCCTCATTCCTGCAGCATCCTGCAGGGCGTGTGCGGAAAGCCCGGTGGGAGTGACAGGAGAGGCCTGGGAGGGTGGACGGACTTTGGGCATCAGGACTGTTCTAGATTGGGGGTGGGCAGGGACAAAGTGGGGTTGGGATGGCACCCGGCCTGCTGGGTTTGGCCCACTCTGGGTGGGAGCGGAGGGATGGGGGCGGGCTGGGAGGTGGGCAGCCCCATGGGGTGGGCTGAACCAGGCTCCTGGCTAGGCTCTGACTTCTCTAGAAGATGCTGGCAGTGGGACGGGCTCCACTGTCTGAGGCCAGATCAGGATAGACTGGGGTGGGGGGATGGACGGAGGCACAGTGGGATTGGGAGGCGTCTGGCAGGGCCGCCTCTGTGCCGGGCCCCCTGCTTCCCCAGCAGGGCCTGGTGCGGCCGGAGAGTGGGGGTTCTCAGTTCACATGACAATCTGAGCCTGGGGGTTGCGACTCTGAGATGGTGAAAAGATCACAGCGTCCACATTAACGAGCTGCTGGGGACCATTCCGGGTCCTTTTCTGCACCGGGTGCTGTTGCTCTTTGGTCTGATGCCCCCCATCTGGCCGGCTGCAGTGCTCACAGCCAGCCACACCCAGTGTGACCAACGCCCGGCAAGCCAGTCTCCAGGGATCTCCTGCAGGTCACTCCTAGGTAACAAATAGGATTCCGGCCGCTGCCATGGCCACCTGAAGCATCTCCTACGATCAGCCCCGTGGCGGGGTCATCTGGACCCTTGACTCTCACACTTTCAGAGCTTGGAGGGGCTTGAAGTTCTGCAGTTCCCCCCCCAACCCCGAGCGAGAGAAGGTGGCCTGTGGTCACACAGCTGCCCAGATGCCAGCTGAGGACAGACTGTGCTCCTCAGCAAGAGCTGGCCCAGGGGGCCTCGATCCTTCTGGGCTCGGCGGTCCAGAACACAGGCCGGGCCCCTCGGCCTTGGTCCCAACGCCTCCACTTCTACCCTAGGAGCTCGCCCTGGGCAAGTCCTAGCTCTCAGCGCCCTGCTTGCAGCCCCACCCCCGCCATGGCCGTGTCCCTGCTTTGTCTCTTTCTGCCTCATTCCCCGAGGCTGGGCGGCTTTCGGTGAGGGGGACACGGAGCAGACACAGGGAAAGCTCTCTCAGCCACCGGCACGCTCGGCTGGGGCTCTCTGTAAGCCAGGCACCTTACCAGCTGCTCCAGCTACCAGGACATCGGTGGTCCCAGTGTCCCTCCGGACAGGGGGAGAGGCCAGGGCAGGGGCAGGGGGTGTCTTGACTGAGGCCACGGAGCCGGAATAATTGGGGGAGCTAGGAGCCAAGCGGCCGGGCAGCTGGTGTGTGGGGCTGTCTTTGGGCTCGAGGCAGTTTCCCAGGTCTTCATGCCTCCTGATGGCTGTGGTCTCAGGAAAAGCTGTGGCCGGTGGGGGTCGGGCAGCCCCAAAGACCCTGCTGGCTCGGCACTGCGCACTTGTAAACTTTAATTTCCATACAGTAGAGAAACTTACAGTACAGGCAACATGGGGAATCAACGCACAGCGAAGCTCACGACCACACCTACAAACACGCGCCTGGCTGCTGGGTGCCTCCTGCTGCCGCTCAGGGGCGAGTCCGCAGTCAGCTGCTCCATCCAGAACAGCTCAGGGAGGCAAAGCTGGCTCAGTCCTTGCAGTCCCCTCCCCCTGGCAGGTCCCAGCTTCCTCCCCCCTCTGCTCCACAGTCACCTCCAGGAGGACACGCCTGCCTCCCAGAGTATGTCAGACACACTCTGCTTTCCTCCAGCTTCGCTCCTGCCTGGGAAGGGGGAGCATCAGCACCGGCCACAGGGCTGGACTGGGCAGCTGGGGAACATCCCCTCAGTGCCTCCTCAAGGGGGGTCAGAAGTGGCCTGCCCACCGGGGGCTCCAGGCTGGCGGGGCAGACAGCCCTGGGCATTCAACGTGGTGGGCGCTGCGGTACTGGGCTCGGGGGCGGGGGCCTGGGAGGTGTTCCCAGGGGAGGAGGAGGCTTGAGAGCTGAGACCTGAGCAGGTGGGAGTCGGTGGTGCGGGGAGGGTGGGGTAGGAGGATGGTGGGCATTTCAGACAGAGGGATCGACAGGGGCAAAGACAGGAAGGTGGGAGAGGGGCTGGGACTTCCAGGGACTACAGAGGAGTTTTCTAGATCTCCCGAGAACTTGGAAGGTGGCCCTCAGGAGCATTTGTATGAGGGAGACATTGGGCTGGCCCCCTGGGCACCATGATGTGGGAGCCAACGCTCCGCAAAGGCTGAGATGTGGCCCCTGGCCAAGCCCAGCCCGTGGCTCTGCCCCTGGACGGCCCGGAGGAGGCTGCTGGCTCTGCTGAGGACCGACCTCGGTCCTTCGTCCTGATCCTGCGGTGGCCGGTGGTTCTGGACGGAACCGCTCGGTGGGCGCCCGTCCTCGACTGCAGGCTTTGGAGCTCGGCGATGGAGGCAGGCGGCCGCACCTTCACACGACCACCTCGGGTGCAATGCTGAAGAGCAGGTCGTCGTTGCCCCTCCGCACCTCCAGCAGCAGCGGGGACTCGTTGAGGACGGCCTCCTGCAGCTCACTGGAGTCTGCCAGGGGGCGCCCGTTGACCTTGACGATGATGTCGCCATCTTGGATGCCCCCTCTGCCAACAGGAGAGACACAGAGTCACCCCAACGCCCCACGAGGCTGGCCTGGGTCGGGGCACGATCCAGTTTAACAGCAGTGGTTCACCAGAAATCATCTCAACAGGTAAGGACAGAGCCCTGACAGCAAGGCTCTCGCACCAGGTGGAAACCAGGGTCCTAGATGGGCAAGCACTTTCTCGGCCTGCTCTTCCACACCTCAGAAGGGCTGGTTCAAGCTCTGCCTGCAGCCCTCCTAGCTGGGCGGCCTCGGGCCAGGCACTTTGCCCCTTTGAGCCTCAGTTTCCACATCTGCTGTCTTACGTGGGAACACACTTTGCAAATTACAATGAGGCCCAGGGCCTTGATCCTAACGTTGCTGCCATTACTAAGAGCTCGCTGCCCGGCCTCCCTCCTGCACCTGCCTCGCCGCCGCCTTCCCCTCCACCCAGAACAAGGCAAGGTTGCATGGTGGTTAGACACGTGGGTGCCAGTGCCAAGATCCACACGTGCTGGCAGTGTGGCCTGGGAGGAGTACTTTCTCTAAGCCTCAGTTTCCATCTGGAAATGGAGTAGCAGCCTGAGGGGCTGCAGGGAGGATAAAGCAGACAGCGCGTGGGGGACACCTGGCTCACGCCGCCACCAGGCTCAGCGGTGCTACCGTCCCCACTGATCTCATTCCCCGGCTCTCGGGCGCCCTGTGCGTGGCCGCTCCTGGAACCACCGCTGCAGAATCAGCAGTGTGCAGCAAGCCCGATCGACAACCTGAGTTTGGTGGCTCTTCTGTGGCTTCACAGGTCTGTATTTCTACCATTTCCCCTGCGGCCGCTGGAGGCTGAGCATGGTGCTATCTGTGTTCATCACAGAAGGGCATGTGGGGCCGCCTCCTCCGCACGGCCTCCCGAAGCAGCAGAGTTCATGAAACAGGCAGAGGGGTCCTGTTTGGCCAAAGGGGCCGTGGGGGCTGGGGCCGGCCCCTCCCCACCCATGCCCTGCCTCGCCCCCAACAGCAGCCAGAGCCCAGCACGGACTCCCTCCAGCTCAGGAATTACAGGTTAGAAGCACTGAGCTAATGCAGCCCGCCCACCATGCTGATGGAGACCCAGCGCACAGGAGGGAAGCGACCTCCTCCGAGCCGTCTAGGGGACCGACAGATCCCTCACATGTGGTAACCTTGCCGCACGGTCTGCCTCAGCTCCCTGGGTCGCAACTTCAACCTTTCTCTAGTTCTTGGCGGTTTCAAAGAAAGCAATGCTTTATTTCATTTGATCTTGACAAGTCTCCCCAGGGTAGAGAGGGCTGAGTCATGCCCACTTTGTGGAAGAGGGAACAGGTCCAGGGAGACACAGGCTGGCCCGCTGGGCTGGGGAGAGTCAGCCTGGAGCAGCTTCGCTCAGGCGGGGCCTCTCCGCTCTGTCTCCCCAGACCCGACGGAAAGGATGTTCTGGGCCAGGAAAGGGCATGGCCAAGACTCTAAAGCATATTTCATCCCTCCAGCCTGGCCCGGGCTTAGTGAACAGGCCAGAATCTCACCCGCCACTTCCACATCACGTCACATTGCCAAGAAGATCAAGGTCATTCAAGGTCAGTGAAGCAGGCCCAGCCCAGGCCCCATGCCCACCCACCCCGCCCGCCGGCATGTCTGACCTCCTCCCATCTGGGCTCTCTGTGTCCTCTGGTGGCACCTACCTCTGAGAAGGTGAATTCGGAACAACCTCTTGCACATAAATGCCACTGCTGACCGTCGGAAGGTCTGGGTTGCTGGCCTTTAGTTCCTCCAGCAAACTGAAAGGACAGTTCCGCTGTTAAAGGGCAGCTTCTGCCTCTAAACTGACTCCTTGGTACGAAGCTGCCCCCTCCTCCCTCCACCACCAGGCTGGACAAGGAGCCTCCTCCGGGCTGCCGCCCACACCGCCGTCCTGCCTCGGACCACTCTGGGTCGTCACTGGCTCTTGTCTGTGTCCCCTACTCGACACGGCTCCTCCAGAGAAACCTCAGTGAAGGTGGGTGGCTAGCAGTGTGGACAGGGGAGGACGATGGACACACGGGAGGATGGGGGAGGAGGGATGAGAGCAAGGAAGGAAAGGAAGAGGGATAGATGGATGGATGGAAGGAAGGAATGACGGATAAATGGACAGTTGGAAGGAGGGATGAACAGACAATGGATGAGTGATGGAATGGATAGAAGACTGGATGGCTGGTGTGATGGCTGGTGTGATGGCTGGTGTGATGGATGGTGTGATGGCTGGTGTGATGGATGGTGTGATGGATGGTGTGATGGCTGGTGTGATGGATGGTGTGATGGATGGTGTCATGGCTGGTGCGATGGATGGTGTGATGGCTGGTGTGATGGATGGTGTGATGGCTGGTGTGATGGCTGGTGTGATGGCCGGATGAAAGAAAGAAAGGACACATTTAAAAGATAAACTGGGGGGCCAGCCCAGTGGCGTAGTGGTTAAGTTTGTGTGCTCCACTTTGGTGGCCCAGGGTTCTCAGTTTCGGATCTCGGGTGCAGACCTAGCACTGCTTGTCAAGCCACACTGTGGTGGCATCCCACATAAAATAGAGGAAGATTGGCACAGATGTTAGCTCAGGGCCAATCTTCCTCACACACACCGGCACAAAAAAGGTATATTGGTCTTGATTACAAATTGCCTTCAGATTTAATCCCTAGATTACGAGCTGCTGGAACAGGAGGAAGGATCATTTCAGGGACTGTGTGGGGTTGAGCGTGTGGCCAGTTGAACCGTTCTTCCCTGAGCTCCCCAGTGCAGTGACCTCTTTCTCCTTTCAATCCTTGCATTTTCCTCCCTGCCTGCCTCCCTTCCCTCCTCGCTCTCCCTCCTCCTCCCCACCCCCTTCTTTAGATCACTCATTCAGGATTTCCAGGCGCCCACTCTGTCCTACAGCTGGTGCTGGGACGGAGCAGAGGGACGAGGAGGACACAGTCCTCACTCCCAAGGAGCGCATGGTCAAGGTGGAGGGGCACGGACGGGCAGTTCCAAGACCATGGGACCACTGTGGTGCTGGGGAGGGAAGCACCTCCTCCCGCTTGAGTGGCCTGGGAGGTAGGATAGTGTCCCCCAAAATTCGTGTCCACCCCTGACCTCAGAATGTGACCTTGTTTGGAGACAGGGTCTTAGCAGATGCAAGTGGTTAAGGGTCTCAAGAGGACATCGTCCTGACTCAGGTGGGCCCCACATCCAAAGACTGACGTTTTCATAAGAGAAAGGAGAGGGAGGGAGACACACGGGGAGGAGCCACATGACAACAGAGGCAGAGCCTGGAGTGACGCAACTACAACCCAAGAAACCGGAGCCACCAGGAGCTGGGAGAGGCAGGGCGCCCCACCCCCCCCCCCCGAGCCTTCAGTGGGAGCACAGCCCTGCTGACACCTTCATTTTGGACTCTGGCCTCTAGAACTGTGAGAGAACGAATTTCTGTTGTTTCAAGCCACCACGTTTGCAGTAATTTGTTATGGCAGCCACAGGAAACTAATCTAGGAGGCTTCCTGGGGGAGGGGGCACCTGAATGGAGTCCTGAAGGAGCCGAAGGAATCTATTAGGCAAAGGAGGGAAAGGCATCCCAGGCAGAGGGACAGGCCAGAGCAAAGCTCAGAAGCCTAAGTGCGTCTGGCCCACTGGAGCCCTGCAGGTGGCCGGGAGAGGCCAGGCCGGGGTCTGGGAGGAGAATGGAGGGGCAGCAGGGGGCAGACAGTCACCTGGGTGTGATAGTCCGCATGCGTATGCCGATGAAGCGCTTCTTCCAGTCTGGAAACAAAGACCACAGGACTCGGTTAGAGCATCATGAAGATCATTGAGCAGAGATGCCCCAGGAGCAGACGGCAGCAGGAGCCACTGCCTGGGCCAACCCAGCCCCTGTGGTCAGGCGCCCAGAGCCTAGAGCCACTTCTGTCCTCCCGGCTGCTCTTGAAGGGCTGGGTGATGTTCTCGCTCTGGTCTGGTAGCTCCACGCCACCCTCACTCTCAGGCACCATCAACCACATCACTCCCATATCCACTGTCCTGCTGAGCTCCACACCCAGCCCCCAGCAGCCAGCAGGGCTCCCTCTCCAGCCGCCACCCGCAGTCTCCCCAAACTTGCCTTGCTCAGATCTGGACTCGTCATCTCCCCACCTTCCCATAAATAATAATATTAATCCTTGATGCCCAGTGAGCACCACCCGTGTGCCCGGCCGGTCCTTTAGTTGGAGCGTGATACACACAGCTCACCTCTCTCCCGCAACTGCTCCAGACTGTGACTTAGCTGATGTCTTAGACCCAGAAATAGCATTTGCATATTCTGAACCATAAAACAAGTCTCAGCACACTTCTAAAATTTCATCGCATAAAAGTATGCTCTCTGACTGCACTGGAATTAAACTAGAAATCAATAATGGAAAGGTCTTTACAAGATTCCCAATAACTTAAAAACTAAATGACACACTTCTAAACAACACATCTTCAAAGAAGAAATCAAAAAGGGAATTAGAAAGTATTTAAAATGAAATAAAAATGAATATACAGCATATCAAAATTTGTGAGATCTAGGTAAAGCAGCACTTAGAGGGAAACTAATAGCCCTAAACACTAGAAAAGAAGAAAGTTCTCAAGTCAATGACCTCAGCCTTCTCCTTAAAAACTAGAAAAAAGAAGATAAAATGAAATCCAATGTAAACAGAAGAAAGGAAATAATAAAGCATAGAAATCAATGAAATAGGAAAGAGAAATATGACAGAGAAAATAAAAACCAAAAGCTGATTCTTTGAGATCAATAATATTGATAATCTTTTAGCCAGACTTATGAGGAAAAAAGAGAAAAGACACAAATATTGATAGGAATGAGAGTGGTGACATCACTACAAATTCTACAGGTATTAAAAGGATAATAAGAGACTATTAAGAACAATTTGATCCCAATAAATTTGACAACTTACATAAAACAGACAAATTTCCCAAAATTTCCAAACTACCAAAGTTCAATCAAGAAGAAATAGAGCACCTGAATAGCCCTATATTTGTTAAAGAAATTGAAATTGTGTTAAAAGTCTTCCCATAGAGAAACTTCAGGCCCAGAGGGTCTCACAGGAGAATTATATACATGTTTAAGGAAGAAATAGTATCAATTCTACCCAAACTCCTCTAGAAAACTAAAAATAAGTGAATTCTTCTGTGATCTTGTAATTTATAATAAGAAATAGATATTTTGGTCTTCATCCATGGTTCCTAGCACCTAGTTCCTAAAACTTTTGTGATTTCCTAAGTGAGAAAAGCTATAAGGGGCATCTTTTGCTCCCAGCCCCTGAAATAGCTCCAGAGCTATAAAGGTGAAATGGGTTTTTGTTATTCAGAATAAGTCCCTTTCAACCACACGTGCGTTTATGTGAAGGAGGTGGCTTTTGGAAAGCTCCTAAGGATGGGGGCTGGTCGCCAGGAGAACCAACCATGTAATTAGAGGCTTGGAACTTTCAGCGCTTGCCCTCCCTACCCCAACTCTGGGGAGGGGAGAGGGGCTGGATGTTGAATCAATCACCAATGGCCAATGATTTAATCAATCACGCCTACGTAATGAGGCCTCCATAAAACCCCAAAAGGACAGGTTGGAAGAGCTTCTGGGTTGGTGGCCATGTGGAGGTGCTGTGAGAGTGGTGCCCCCGGAGAGCGCGTGGAAGCTCTGCACCCCGGCCCCGTACCCCACCTGCGTGTCTCTTCCACTGGGCTGTTCCTGAGTCATAAACTTTTATAACAAACTGGCAATCTAGTAAGTAAACTATTTGCTGAGTTCTTTGAGCCTCTCTAGCAAATGACTGACAAGGAGGGGATCATGGGAAACTCTGACTTATAGCCACAGGTGACAACCTGGACTTGTGATGCCATGTATGTGAAGGTGGGTTGGGGGAAGGCTTTGGGACTGAGCCCTTAACCTGTGGGGCCTGATGCTAGCTCCAGGTACACAGTGTCAGAATTGGGTTAAATTGAGGGACACCCAGCTTGGTGTGGGAAAACCTCACACATTTGGTGACCGGAAGTGTTGGAAGTGAAGTGGTGTAGTAGAGAACTGACAGCAGAGGGGTGTCTTTCCTAAACAACTTCTCAACTCATTATCCTAACACCAAACCAGAAAAGAAAACTAGACCAACATTCCTCATGAAGATAGACGCAAAAAATCTTCACATGTTTTCAGCAAATAAAATCCAACAATACACAAAAAGGAGGATACATCATGACGAAGTGAGGTTTATGTCAGGAATGCAAGGATGGTTCACACTCAAAAATCAACAAATGCAATTTACCCGATTAACAGACTAAACAGGAAAACCATCATCTCAAAAGATGCAGAAAAAGTATCTGGCAAAAATCTCACATCTATTCCGAATAAAAACTAGAAATAAAAGGGAGCGTTTTCAACCTGATAAAGGGTGCCTATGAAAAACCTTTAGTTACCATCATACTTAATGGGAGAGACTAGAGATTTCTCCCTGAGATCAGGAACGAGGCAGGGATGTCCACTCTCACCACTTGCATGCAGTATTTTGTGGGAGGGTCTAGCCAGGCAGGAAAGGAAAAGGAATCCATAATGGAAAGAAAGAAGTAAAACCGTCTTTATTCACAAACCACAAAATCATCTATGTAGAAAATCTGATGGAATCTACGAAAAAAGCTAGTAGAACTTGCAAGTGAGCTGTCAAGGTTGCAGGATCTCTTATGATCAACATACAAAAATCAATTTTATTTGTACATTCTAGTAACAAACAATCAGAAATTTAAATTTAAAAGAATAGACCATTTATAATAGCATCAAAATTATGAAATGCTTAATAACTTTACTGAAAGATAGTGTAAGACCTGTACGCTGAGAGCCAGATAACACCGCTGAGAGAAGCCAAGGAGAGTAAATAATGGGGAGACACTCTGTGTCCGTGGGTCAGAAGATTCAATATTGTCAGAATGACGATTCTCCCCAAATTCACCTATGGATTCGACACAATCCCAGTCAAAATGCCCGCGGGAGGTTTTTGGGTAGGAATTGACAATCTGATTCTAAAATTCATATGGAAAAGCCAAGGTCTAGAATAAGCAAAACAGCTTTGAAAAGGAGGGACAAAGCTAGAGGATGGACGTTGCCTGACGTCAAGACAGCGTAAAGTCGCGGGAATCAGGACGGTGTAACGGAGACGGAGAGACAAGGGGAACAGAACACGCTCGTTTGTTTTTGACAAAAGGAAGGAGCAAAAGCAATTCCGTGCAGAAAGGATAGTCTTTTCAACAGACGGTGCTGGAACAATTAAATATCCAGAGCAAAAAACCAAAACAAAAAAGTTCGATTCATACTTAGTACTATTTTAAAAAGGTTAATTCAAAATACTTCATAGCCCTAAATCTAAAACGTCAGAAAGTAAAACTTCCAGAAGAAAACGTAGGAGAAAATCTTTCTGACTTCAGTTGCAAAGATTTCTCAGATACAACACCAGATCCACAACCCATTTTAAAAAATGGGTGAACTAGACTTTATCAAAATTTACAAAACTGCTCTTTAAAGACAGTTAGGAGAATGAAAAGACAGGCCATGGGAGAAAATATTTGCAATCCGTTTATCTGACAAAGGGCTCATCCAGACGTATAAAGAACTCTCAAAACTTAATAAGAACACAAGCAACCTAAATCTTTTAAATGGGCAAAATATTTAAGCAGACATTTCACCAAAGGCGACTGATGGATGGCAAGGGATGGTCCACGCGGGAGCTGAGGTCAGAGCAGGGCAGGAGGCCCAGCCCCCTGGGTCTGGTGGGCTTCGGAAAGCTCTGGTCTTTACCCCAAATGAGATGGAGCCCGGAGGGAATGGGCAGAGACATGCCATGGTCCGCCTTAGATTTTGAAAGGAGCCCTCCAGCAGCAGGAAGAGTCTGTGGGGGTCAGGGAGGGGACAGAGGACCAGGGAGGGGGCAACAGCCCAGGTGAGCGCCCCTGGTGGCTGGTCCCGGTGGTGGAGCTGGAGATGGCGACAGGGCAGGTGCGGGGTGCACAGATCCCCAAGGTAGGGCCAACAGGGCCGGCTGACGGATTGAATGCGGGGTGGGAAATCCGGAGGATGGGGCTGCCCATAACTGAGAGGGATGGTGATGGGCAGCCGGGGACTGGAGATGTCCAACAAGAAGCTGTGCCTCCGAGTCCAGAGGCCGGGGAGAGGGGCGGCCGGAGACGTAAATTTGGGGGAGTCACTCTCTAGATGATGTTTAAATCCGTGAGACTAGATGAGGTCCTCAGAGGAAAGTGGAAAGGCCTAGGGACGGAGGCCTTGGCCCTCCATCCTGCTCCTGACATGAGTCCAGCCACGGGTCAGCTCTGCTCATAACCCCAAGGTCACACTTACAAGGAGAAAGAAACCTATGCTTCCGGTGCTTGTGCGGCAGCAGCGCCCTGGCGGGGCGGAGTGCAGCCCAGGCCACTCGGCCGTCCCACTGGAGCCCTTGTGCAGGAGAGCCCCCTCCCCCAACCCAGAGCCAGCAGGCCTGGCCACACGGGGTTCTCCAGGAACACGGGGTGCAGGCGGTCAGGAGGAGCTTATCGCTCGGCAGAATTGTAAGCACCAGCCCTTCATCTTCCCACCCTTGTTGGGAAATCCCCTGAACGACCCGTGCCCGCCATGCGGCACTGGACATAGGGCTGCTAGAGGTCTGAGTCCTTCTAAACATGTCATGGAACCACTCTGGACCGGACTGAGGCAAGAACATCAACGATGGTAACAAAACAACAGCAAGGGGATGGGGGTGACCGCTTAAGGGGCGCAGAGGGCTCTCTGGGACACTGACAAAGTCCGGGAGCTGGCGAGGGGACGGCTGCACAGCACTGTGAACGCTCTATCGCTGCTGCGGGGGCCCTGGAGGGGGCTTCGTGTGTATCACGTGAATTTCACCTGGAGAGAAAACCCCAGACCACAGCGAGAGGGAAGCCCACGCCTGGGGCTTCTGGGGCGTCAGTGCTAGTCCTTGACTTGCCCCCGACCCCACCCCAGGAAACGGCCTCCCAGCTCCCAGGGCTCCGGCCTTGGCTGCGTCAGCTCCTTTCTCTCGCTCACATCCTACATCCCACCTTCCAGCAAGTCCCATTGGCTCAAAGTGCAACATCCATCCTGGACCCAAGCACTCCTGACCCCACGCTGCCACCACCCCAAGTCAGCCACCAGGAAGGCAGCCCTGGGTCCCACACGGCCTCTGGCATCTCCTCTGTCTTCCAGCAACTGACACACCGTCCCCCTCCCCCCACTGCACCGGGGCTGGCGGGGTTCTTGGAATTGGCACTCCCCACCCAACCCCGCTCAAGACCCTCCGCGGCCCCCCGACGAGCCCAGCGTCCCACGCTCTCACCTGCGGCCCTCTCCCCCTGCCCCGCTGGCCCCCGGGGCCACGACTCTGATGTCACATTACATGTTGGCACTCTCATGGCCTCCTCCCCACTAGTGCAAAAACTTGGGGGCAGAGACTGTGAGTCCGGCTCCCGGCTGTGCAAGAGTCCACGGCGCCGAGCGGGCCTCAGGCCCGGGCAGCTCTCGGGCTGAATGGGCCCCGCTCTGCAGGTGACAGAGCTGAGGCGTAAGGGGGCCCGACGCAGAGCTGGGGGAGAGCCCAGACTGCGTCACAGCAGGGACACTAAGCCTCTGTACCTGGAAGAAGGGACACCGGAGAGGCAAAGGGCACCATCCAGGTGCTGGGCCGGGCCGGGGCTCCATAACATAGAACCTTCTCCCCACCTCTCGGCCCCTGCTCCTGCCTCCCGCCTCGTCCTCGTCTGTTTGGGACCCCGAGTCTGCCCGTGACCTTGAGGCCAGGGAATGTGCGTCTGGGCCCCTTTTTCCCACTTCCCCCCCCCCCCCCCCGCCAGCCCCTTCTGCAGCTCTTCCCCTGCTCCCAGCCCACAGAGACCCCCTGATCAAGAGATGAGGGAGGGTTTCCACTCCCCAGGCCGGAGATGACCACTGAGCAGCCGTCTCCCACCGTTCACAGAGGGACAGACACCCGTAACTGAGCTCAAACACCCCGCAGGGGTGCCCTGGTCCTAGGACTGGCTGAGCCCCCAGAGCCTCCTGGACCCCAGGCCGAGGTTCCCCCAGACCCCGCATGGTGGTCCCTCTTAGCCTGAAAGATCCCAGGGGCCTCTCCACCCCAACTCCTGGATGGGGACAAGATGCGCACCTTGACTAGCGCCTCCTGGGTTTAATAAAAGGATGGTTGGTTTTAAAGAAATTTGGATTAACCTGTTTTGGATAATTTGGTATTTTTATTAAAAAAAAAAAAGCAAAAGGGAATGCAAGTCGACTTCAGAAGGATTTTAAATTATTGATTCGGTCATTCAGCTAAGATCGATGGGGTTCTTCAATTGGTCCGCGTGTCTGGGAGTAGATGACAGCTCTGAGGACACGGGTGAATGTTTCCTAGGGATCTGGGGTGAGGTCAGCACTGACAGCAAAGGAGCAAACGCCGGCCCCCGTGGGTTCTTATCTGAGAGGCAATAAGGAAGCGGATGCTGTCACCCCATTTCTAACAAAACAGTCACCACACGGCTCAATCTGTGCAAAGCGCAGCTCCACCGATTTCCAGGAAGGTGGCCCAAGTCAAAGGCACCCCTGAAGCAGAGGATAATTACACTGGAAAAGCTTGGTTATCAGAGAAAGGATCAAGGCTATGACTGGTACAAAGGTGCAGCCCTGAGTCAAGTTCTGAGCTCCCTAGCAGCCAAGGGGAAAAAAGCTCAAGAGGTTAATTGTCCTCCTGTGCAACAGAAGCCTCCAGCTTCTTTAGGGCAGGCTGCCTCTGCCCTGGCTCCAGGCTGTCTTCACAGAAGGGACCTGAGGAACCACACGGAGTCCTCGACAGCATCTCTTCTTGTGGCCAGTCCTCACGGCACAGGTCTTGGCTACACCGGACCGGGGTCCCTGTGCTTGACTGGCGGGGTTGTGGAGGAAAGGGAAAGCATGAAGAAGCCCCCTGCTCTCAACGAACTGCTGATGAGGGGGCTGGGAGGAGACAGGGAAGCAATCTGAAGGTGTGAGTAGCAGGGCTGAGTCAGGTCTGGGTGATGGCCAGGAGGTGAGCATGGGAGACAAAATGGCGGAAGGGAGAAGTTCACTTGGGTTGAAAAGACAGGTGGGAAGGTGGAGGCCACCAGGAAGGGTCCTGAGAGCCGAAGAAGTGTGACCCTCCTCCACTGACTTCAGGAAGGTGACTGGCATGCCCTCACTAGGGAGAGCCACCGATGCCTGTCTCGGCCTCTCCCAGATGGACGCTCATGGCCATCCAGGAGTGGGCAGGGTGGGCTGGACTCCCCTGTGTGGGTGGGGGTGAGGAGATGCAGGCTGAGAGGAGAGTGACCGCCAAAGGTCAGGGGCTGGGCTCCACTCCCCTGAAGCAGAGGCTATGCTACTGGGCAGTCTGCAGGGCCAGAGGGCTGAAAGAGCGAGTACCTAGGGACGGGCAGATGCAAGAAAGGAAGGATGGGTGGATGGAAGAAAGGGTGGGTAGACAGATGGGTGGACGAACAGAAGGAAGGAAGGAAGGATAGACAGAGGAAAGAATGAGTAGATGGATGAAAAGAAGAACGGATGGAAGGAAAGATGGGTGGGTGGGTGGGTCGCTGGGTGGGTGGGTGAGTGGTCGGGTAGATGGATGGGTGGATGAGTGAGTGGGTGGATGGATGGACGGTTGGGTGGGTGAGTGGGTGGATGGATGGATAGGTAGATGGATGGGTGGATGAGTGAGTGGGTGGATGGATGGACGGTTGGGTGGGTGAGTGGGTGGATGGATGGATGGGTAGATGGATGGGTGGATGAGTGAGTGGGTGGATGGATGGACGGTTGGGTGGGTGAGTGGGTGGATGGATGGATGGGTAGATGGATGGGTGGATGAGTGAGTGGGTGGATGGACGGGTGGGTGGAAGGAAGGAAGGAAGAACCAGGTTTTGACAACTATGGAGCAGCCTAGACAAGTGGAGCCCGAGAGCCCAAGCAGCTGGAGGTGGGAGGTGAAGGCGGAGATCCTCAGCCAGAAGGGGACAGTGTGGAGGGGCAGGGGGTGACCGTGGCCATGAAGCGAGGGTCGGGGAGGAAGAGTGAGAGGGGCTGAGGCTGAGCTCTCTTGGGGGTCTCAGGAGTTCGGGGCCCAGTCGGGAGTGAGCAAGGGCACACAGCCTGGAAGGAGGGGCCCCAGCCCTGGCACAGTGCCCCCCGGCTCAGCCAGCCCCTCAGGGAGCTCTTTACCTTTGATGTGCTTGTCCTGGAACTCTGTGAGGAAGCGCGTGATGCGGTCCGAGGGGATGGCAAAGGAGATGCCAGCTGCAACCTTGAGCGTGTTGATGCCAATGACCTCACCGTCCTGGGCGGGAGACCAGAGCGGGCCGTCACTGGGGGAGCCCAAGTGACCGCTGCCCTCAGCTGCAAAGCACTGTGTCTGCGGCTCGGTTCCCAGAGCTGACCTGGCTGTCAGAGCCCCTCCCTGCACAGCTCCTGGGGCAGCCCTGGAGCTTCCTGGAAAGGCACCTCGGGCTCACTTCTGGGTCAGGGACCCCCACCTCCCCACCGTTTGCCTCCGAACCTGCCCCCCTTCATTGCTGGGGAGTGTTGGCCGGGGAAGCTTGCGGCCTGCCCCTCAGAGGCAGTGCCCACTGACCGAGGGCACCCCCAGGCAGCACTGTGAAGGGCCGAGCCAAGAAGGATGTGGAGGCCTGTGGGATGGGCTCTATCCCTTCCTTCTGGAAGCAGGGTGGGGGCGAGTGAGGCCAGGGCAGTTCCCCAGCATCCCCCACTTTCTCTGCCCCTTCGGAGCTGGGCTCCCTCACTGCCCCTATTCTGCACTCCCTGAGGCTGGTGCAGCCTGGGCCGGATCTGCCCAGCCCCCGGGGACCTCACTCCGGGCACATGTGTAGGGTGGGGCTCCTCCTCACAGCCTGGCATGGGCTTTCCCGGCCATAGCAAGAATGATGTCTGCACGTAGCATTCAGGCCACCGCCTACTCAGCTCACCAGGGGCCCCCTTTGGGGCCGAGCTTTGGATCAAGGCACACTTGCTCTGCCTGGCCCATGGGAGCTCACGGCGTGGGAGGACCAGCCAAGTGGGGGATCCAGGGGATGGAGAGTCCCTCATTGGTCCAGGCGGGGACTGCCCTGGACTCCCCGGCCCTGCCTGATGGCAAGGGTTAGGAGTTCCCACGAGCTCTGGCTTCAGGGGAAGAAGCATCTCTGTCCTGGAGCAGGCTGGACCTTGGCTGTGCTGTGTGGCCCCCAGAAGTCCCCACCCATGGCCCGGTCCACCCTTACAGAGCCCAGACTCAGGGACCAACCCCAGGGGCCTGGATGCTGAGTCGTGTGGCATGCCCATCTCATCTCATGTAAACATGTGGACGGGGAGCCCGGCGGAGGGGGGCAGGCCCCCAACTGCGTCTCCCTTGCCCCAGGTCCCTAATGGACACACGGACCCTGCCTGGGCTGCGGTCTTGGGTCATCCCTTATGCCTCTGTCAGCACCACTGGCCCTTGGGGCACATCCTCCTCCAGGGCCTCCAGCCCGGTGTGTTCCTGACCATCGGGCGTGAAGGTGTGAGGGCCACATTCCGGGCCCCATCCCTGCCTCGAGGCTGTGCCCCCCACGAAAACTAGAGGCCCCTGCTCTAGGGCACACTCACCAGGTTCACCAGAGGTCCCCCGGAGTTCCCGTACTGCAAGGGGAGGAAAGGCAACATTAGCTGCGCCCGGAGCCCCGTCCCCGGGTTCTGGAGCCTTCCTCCAACTATCACTCTAACCAGCAGAGACTTGTCATCGAAGTTTATCTCCAACAACATCGTAAGGCCTGGCTGCTGTCCCCATTTCACGGGTGAGAAAGCCGAGACTCACAGGGGCCAAGGGGACGGCTGTCTGAGGACCGGGTCTGACCCGGCCAGTGCTGTCCGCACAGAGCTCACAGCCTTGCTCCAGCCTCGCTTCGCTGTCTCCACCGTGTGCAGGCTGGGCGGCACCGGGAGGACGCAGGGCGGGGCCCTAATTCTCATCCTGCCGGCCCCAAGGAGCCTCTATAGTGACTGACTTTTCCAGAAGAGTGCCCGACCCAGAGGTGGGCGCGGGGGCGTCTGCGCAAAGGGCTTTGTGAACGCAAAAGGTGCCATCCAATGTGACAATAACAAAAACTAAGAAATGCCGACCGGGCTGTGTAACTTGGGCTATGGCCCTACCTCTCTGAAGGGCTGTCCCAGGTCAGGGCTGCAGTTTCTCACTCCCAGGGCCCACTCGGCACCCATGGGTGGAAGTCACAGGGGTCAGACCCCACTTAATGTAAAGGAAGGACTTTCTAGCAAGAGGACTGACGAGTGATGGGGTGAGCTCGGGGGACAGGGAGCAAGCGCCGCCATGGTGGTTGGAGAACTCACGTTGATGATGGCATCCGTCTGGATGTAGTCCATGTCCGAGTCACGGAGGCCCAGCTCCTTGCCGTCTCGCTGGGCCGTGCTGACGATGCCCGTGGTCACGGTGTTCTGCAGGGCGAAGGGGCTGCCGATGGCCACCACAAACTCCCCGGGCCGCAGGTCCCCCGAGTGGCCCAGCAGCAGTGCAGGGAGCTTTTTCTAGGGGGAAGGCAGGGGACACAGGAGGGAGGCTCAGCGCTCTGACCACGGCCAGGCCCCCGGCGGGGTGGTCCAGGAGCAGCTGGATAGAGCGGTCATGGGCGATGACCATGGGAAGTCAACAACGCAGACAAAACGGGCCGGCCTCCAGCTGACCCATGGTGGGGCAAGAGACCCAGGGCTGGTGCTCATGGAGCAGGGACCACAGGTCCCCACAGGGCAGGCCACAGGTGTCCATCATGGGGAGGACGGCCAGAGGGTCCAGCTGGGCACGGCCTCCGAGGTCACTGAGCTCAGTGGGTCAATGGGCACAGGTCCCTCTGAAAACTGACAGAAGCTCTGGACACCACCACCCAGAAAACACAGCCCCCCCCAGTCTGACGCACACAGCCTACAGATCTGCAGAGTCCCGGCCCAGCTGGGGACCTGGGACCCCGGTCTTGAAATCTCTGATGCACACAACCTGCTCTCCCACTATAGACACGTGAGGAAACTGAGGCGCAGAGAGAGAGAGCAACTTAACCAGCTCCACCATCATCCCTGCACACCCAGACACCACACACTGCCCTCTCGTTTTCACATGGAGCCGTTGCAGCGTCTGTCTGTCGTTTGACTCTGTGACCAGACTGGGGCTCTGAGAGCGGGCTGTGACTTGCCTGCCTCCGCGTCCCAGGAGCTGCCAGGAGCTCGCGCAGGGGAGGGGTCCCCGTGTGTCAGGAGGTGGGAGTGGGGCTCGGTGCCTGCACCCACATTGAGTTCCTGGTTGTGGTTTTGCACCACCCATGTCAGACATCACCTCGGAGCAGCCGGGAGGAGGGCACGGGGACCCCTCAGCACGGCTGCTGCAGCTTCCTGTGAGTCTGGAACTATTTCCAGACAAAAAGCTTTCTAACAAGGTGCTGGAGACGGCCACGCCCAGCTGCCAGGGCCCTCACTCTAGAGATCTGGAGACGGGCAGGCAGGACCCACCTGGCCACTGGACTGCCCGATTCCACCTGCCGCTGCTCTTCCTTCCCGTTTCAGCGGCTGTCCCTTCTCCATGTCAAATACAGAATTGTTTCTTTAAAGAGGCATCTCTCCTATCAGCTATTGTGAAAGATGACACGAGTGGAGCCATATTAAAATAGAGCCAGAGCAAGCGTTTCAGAGGAATTGCCTTGCACGTCTTCTTTTCTTTTCTTTTCTCTCTCTCTCTTTTTTTCTTGGTGAGGAAGACTGGCCCTGAGCTAACATCTGTTGCCAATCTTCCTCCACTTTGTATATGGGACACCGTCACAGCATGGCCTGACGAGTGGTGTGTAGGTCCGTGCCCGGGATCCAAACCCACGAACCCTGGGTGGTGGAAGCGGCGTGGAGCGCACAAACTTAACCACTACGCCACGGGCCAGCCCCCATCTTGTTTTCTGTATCTTCCAAACTGTACCAAACCGCCAACATTCCAAGAAGTTAATAAGGATAAGAATATCCCATTTGTAAAAACTGACGAAATTGGGCTTTGCTGATGACTTAATCACTGACCAATCAATGAAGTACAAGTCTAGCCTTTTGCCCCATGACCGAATCTCACGCCAGCTCTGAGGTACAGACCCAGCCTGGCCTCGTCCAGCACCAATGAACTCTTCCCCAATACAGCTCACCTCACCTTCCTCCCTTTTCCCACAAAAACCCTGCCCCTCTCTCCTGCAATCTGGACGCTGTTTGGGTTGCTACTTGAATCTGTGCTCCCCGAACTGCAATTCTTTGATCTCAAATAAACGCTTTGCCTCTTAGCGGTTTCTGCTTTCGTAGGCTGACACTATCAGGAAAAGAAGACAGGAGGACGCCTGTCAGCAGGAGTGAGCTGCGGCCCACCCGGCGCAGTGCTTGCCCACGTGGGGCCTCGCTGCGCTGCTTTCTGCGCTGCTGGGGTGGGAGCAGCCTCTGTCAGTGGCGCAGGGGGTCTCACGCGGAGGAACTGGACCAACAATTTTAGGGGCAAGGACTAGAGAGCCAACCCTTTTCATGGCGCACTGGCCATAGAGTAGGGGACAACGACGTCCGAGGACAAGGTGAGCAGGAAGGGTCCATTCAGCCCTTCCTTGCTGTGCCTGGGTGGGCTGCGGGCCAGCAGGCTCCCCAAAGCTCCATCTGACACCCCGCATGGGAGTCAGGTTAACCGGCGTCCATGGTCGGGAGGAAGCAGTGGGCACTGACCAAGCCTGCAGGCCCTGGGGGGTCTCGGGCACCCGGCCCTCCACCAGCAACTTTGGCCACAGGTGGCTGCTGGGGCGTTCCCTCTGCCCGCGGGATTCCGTCACAGCGCCCGGAAGGGGAGAGACCCAGCGGCAGCCAAAAGGGGTCTCTGGGCAGGGGTCGCACTGTGGTCCTCGGACCAAATCCGGCCGGCTGCCTGTTCTGTAAAGTTCTACTGGACACAGCCACACCCGTTGTCACCTCTGGCCACTCTCTGGCCTCAGTGCAGAGTTGAGGGGCTGCCATAAGGACACGGGGCCCCAAAAGCCTAAATTATTTACTATCGTTGCTTTATGGGAAAAGTCTGCCAACCTCCGTCCTCAAGCACACCCTCATCCCCCGGCCTCAGTTTCCCCCTCTTTAAAATGGAGGTGGCGCCCCCAGACTCAATAACAACCGTGAAAGGGCTCAAAATTGGGGAAGGGTCCACGACAGGACGATTTCGTGGCGCCATTGTCTCCTCGCCCTCCACTGGGCAAGAGGAGGCCTCCTCGAAGGAGACCTCTCCCCACAGACGCTGTCGACTGTCACTCAGAGAGAGAAGCCAGGTCCAACCTGGCCCAGCCGGCCCGGCCAGCACAGGCGGCCCCACCGCCCGGAGCTCACGCGCAGCAGGGCGCAGGGACCCGCGGCAGCTCTGAGTCATCACTGCGACACTGGACAGGAAGAAACCACTCAGGAAGGCCAGGAAGGCCAGATGGAGCCGAGCGGGCCAGCCCTGCCCTTGCTTGGGGTCGTGTCGAGCAGCTCCCTGGACCCTCTTGCCCTCAGTTTCCCCTCTGAGACAGCAGGGCACTGATGCCCCTCCACCAAGGGCTGTGGTGAGAGGAGAGTGTGCACAGCAGGCCTCCCGGACACACGGTGGTGGTGACGGCAGCATCAATGTGGCTGCAGGGTAAGTCTGCTTGGTCAGCTATGGGGGGCCCGGATGTGCAGGTGGAGGGACTGGGGTACGTGTCCCAAGTGCTCCCCACTGGCCTCCACCACTCCTGTGGGGGCAGCTGTGTCTCCTGGAGTGGGCCTGGGAGGGACAATGGAAGTGTCCCTGCACCTTGGCGGACCTCTGTGTGGGAGTGACTGTGGCGGCACGTTGCCTGGACGGCAGCCTCCCTTTGCCGCGCCCCACGGCTCAGGGAAGCACAGGGCAGGCACCCAGAGTCCCAGTCTGACTTGACCCATGACGGGGGACAAGCAGCTGGTCCCCCCTGGGCCTCAGTCCTCCAAGTGTCCAGTGGGAAGGTTGGGCTGGTGCATCTCTGAGCTCTGGGGTCTGGGAAGATGCCCCCCACCCGGCAGCCCACTCACTTTGGGGTGGATCTTGATGGTGGCGATGTCCGACTTCTTGTCGATGTCTTGGATGGTGGCCTCGTAGGTGTCGCCGTTCTGCAGCTGCACCTTGAGCTGCTGCCGGCCTGAGACGGAGTTGGTGCTGGACACCACGTGGGCGTTGGTGACGATCAAGCCGGCCTCCGACATGATGAAGCCCGAGCCGCTGGACAGGGGCACGTTGCGGCCGAACAGGGGGTGTCTGCGGGGAGATGAGCATGGCGGGCGTTCAGGGTGGGTGTGCACTCGGACAGGGGTCACACAGCCGTGGGCCAGCAGGCAAGGAGCAGAGCCAGGGTGGGGGTAGAGGACATGGGCTTGGAGGCCACTGGGCCCACACTTACTGCTGTGGCCTTCGCCGGGTTGCTTAGGTCTAGACCCATTTCACAGCTGTAAGGAGGGGATGATAATCTCTGACTTGCAGTTTGCCGGTTGGATGTGAGCCCCATAAATGTTGGGCCTGTGATGCCAGCAGCAGGCACAGCCACCCCAACATCAGAGCACCAGAGCCAGACAGCCCAGGTTCCAGTCTCAGGTCCAGGCCCCACTCCCTGTCTGCCTGACCACAGGCGGGTCGTTTAATCTCTGAGCCTCGGTCTCCCCATCCAGGAAATGGAACAATAGCACCCACCCCGCTGAGTGACACCCAGAATACACTCAACAAACACGGCTGTCACTGGCACAAAGGAAAATGACTGAGGTGCACACAGCATCCACTGGGACTGTCACAAAGCCCAGAGGATGCCAGTTTCCAGATCTCTGACTAGGCAGAGAGGGTAAGCACTGAGGGGACAGGCTCCCACCTCCCGCTGGCCCCTCCCCTCGGGATGCCTGCCTGGAAGCCCCTAATGGTGGACAAGCAGAGCTGGTGCTGGGCTCTGCTCAGCAAACGCCACACGAGGCGCCATGCTTCCGAGGACACAGGGGGACGGGGAGCACTAGATGTGGCAGGATGGGACAAGTGCCCACAGACATAAGGTGACACCCAGCCTTGGCATGTGCCTCCGTGAAATGGGACTGAATGGGCGATGAAGCTGGCGTGGAGCCCGAGGTCAGTATTCCCTGACGGGGACAATGCTCAACCCTCGCTGGAGCCCTCTGGGGAGGAGTCACAGCCCCCTCCGGGGACGGACACAGCTCAGGACCTTCTCCCGGGCAGGACACCTCTGGGATCCCAGCACAGGCCTGGACGGAGCAGGAGCTCAGTGTCTGAGGCTGCTCAGCAGAGAGGAGAGAGACAAACGGGCCGAAGGGGCTGGCAGTCGTGCGGGAGAGGAGGCACAGAGGGGCGGCGTCCCCCAGGGAGGTGAGTCTCTGCGGGCCCAGAAGCCCTGCCTCGGCCGACAGGACAGGTGACAGCGGCTAACAGCACCAAGAGCTGCCTCTGAGCCAGGGACGAACTCGTTTCCCACCCATGGCCACCCTACGAGGCAGGCAGGTTTCCAGTTTACAAGCAGGGAAACAGGCCTAGCGACGTGAACCACTTGCCTGGGTTGGGCAGGCAAAGGGCAGAGCAGGGGTTTGAAGCAAGCGGCCCGGCCACTCGGCTCCCTTGCAAGGCGACCACAGCATCTTTCCACCCAAGTCCGCGTGGGCCCTGGGCGGGAGCTGCCCCCAGTGCCTCCAGAAACCTGGCCTGACGCGTGTAGCATTCGGCGCCTATCTGCGGAAGGGTCCAGGCCGCCCAGAGGCCTCCTCGCCTGGGTCAGGGTCACCCCCGGGGCCGTGGTCAGTGGTCATCATTTGCATCTGGGATCAGCCTGCCTCAGCCTCACCCGCCCACCGGCTCAGACATCTGCCTCCGAGGCTGACGGGACACTGTGTCGCTGCCGCCCGGCCGGGCCGCAGTTGGCAACTAGCTGGCTGGAGCCTGGCGCCCAGGGCCTCTGGAGAGATACTGCCCCTGTCCGAGCCACCTGCAAGGCCAGGGGCGTGCCACTTCTCACGTCCGGTTGTGACTCCGTCTCAGGGTCTGTGCCCGAGGCGAGGGCCGTGAGGGGTCAGCGTGCTGCAGAAGGACGGGCTCGGCTCTGGGGTCTGAGAGACCTGGGGGCCCCCCAACCCAGCACTCAGGGGCTCTGTGAGCCTGGGGAAGTTTCCAGGCCTCTGCTTCCACATCCAGAAAACCGGAACAGGAAAGCCTGCCTTCTGGGGTTCACAGGAAGATGCTGAGGGCACCAGAGTGGAAGGGCCTCGGGGCGCGGTGCCTGCACACACGATCCGTCAGCGCTGGGGGGGGGAGCTGGGCCTCTGTGAGGTGGGCGTGCACCGGGGCTGTTTTGAAAAATGTGGGCAAAGCAGCAGACAGGGCCAGGACACAGTAGGTGTTTTGACAGTGCACGCAGGCCATTGGTCCACTCGCCCCCAGGGAGCAGCGTCCATGGGGAGCTCAGTCCTTGGCCTCCAGAGATGGGGGACAGAGATGCCTGTGACAAGGGCTCCCACTGGGCAAGCTCCACACCCAGCAGGCAGAGGGCCCTGTGCCGGGACCAGGAATCAGGGTGTAGCCAGCTCTGCCCACTCCCGGGGACCTCCACGGGCCTCCATGCCTCGGGGTCAGCATAGTGGCTCTGGCCGGCCCCCAGCCCTCGGGGAAGGTGCTGTGAGGACAAACAAGGCCCTGGAGTCGCGGCCTGTGGTGACTGTCCCCTCCAGTGGAACGGCGCACACGAGCCAGCTCCCTCCGAGCCCTCAGGGTGGAAAGGGGTTCTGACCCTGCGAGCCTCATCTGGGCTGTGTGCGGGCCCCTCCCACACACGGGCCAAAGGGAAGACAGACGGACGCAAGAAACACTCTGAACTGGCAAGGCCACGCTGTCAACGTCTTCTCTGTAGAGTGTTGAAGTCGACTTGGGAAGAGACCCCAGGATTCCGGGGCCACCAGTCTGCAGGGCAGCAGCCTTCAGGGTCCCTCAGACAGGCCCTGTGATCAGGGGAGGAGGGGGTTGGGTGCGTGGGGGCGGGGGGACCAGGGGCGGAAGGAGGGGTCTGGGCCCTGTCTCTGCAAGGGGGTAGCTTGCACTGCTCACTGCTTCCCTTCTGATTCATTCCTTCACCATTCATTCACTCATCCACTCATTCATTCTGTCTATTGTCAATTCCCTCATTCATGCATTCCTCCACAGTACGTTCATGTACTCATTTGCTCGTTCGCTCCTCCAGTCATCCATCCCTTCATCCATTCACTCACTCACACGCTCATCCATTCACACACCCACTCACTCCCACACTCATCCATTCACACACCCACTCACTCACTCCCACACTCATCCATTCACACACTCACACACATTCATTCACACACACACTCGCACACTCATCCATTCACACACACACTCACTCCCACACTCATCCATTCACACACCCACTCACTCCCACACTCATCCATTCACACACCCACTCACTCACTCCCACACTCATCCATTCACACACTCACACACATTCATTCACACACACACTCGCACACTCATCCATTCACACACACACTCACTCCCACACTCATCCATTCACACACCCACTCACTCCCACACTCATCCATTCACACACCCACTCACTCACTCCCACACTCATCCATTCACACACTCACACACATTCATTCACACACACACTCGCACACTCATCCATTCACACACACACTCACTCCCACACTCATCCATTCACACACCCACTCACTCCCACACTCATCCATTCACACACCCACTCACTCACTCCCACACTCATCCATTCACACACTCACACACATTCATTCACACACACACTCGCACACTCATCCATTCACACACACACTCACTCACTCATCCATTCACATACTCATCCATTCACACACTCACACACATTCATTCAATCATCCATTCAGTCACTCACACACTCATCCATTCACACACACTCACACTCATCCATTCACACACCCACTCACTCACACACTCATCCATTCACACACACACTCACACACTCATCCATTCACACACCCACTCATCCATTCGCATGCCCACTCCCTCACTGAGCCACCACTCTGGGGCAGACCCTGGGCTCTGGGGACTTCGGGACGACTTTGATGCAGTCCCTGCCCGGAAGAGGTCTGTCTGGTGGGAAACCAAGAACCTCCTCACTCAGGTTCTCGTCCTGTGTCACTGGGGGCCGCCCGTCCCAGCTGGCCAACAGGGGAGGGCCGGGGATGCGGCGAGCGTCTGAGCGAGGCTGAGGGAGGTCGCGCCGTGGAGCAGAGCCCTGAGGCCAGATGTGGCCCGACTGCTGCTCAGCAACGTGTGGCCCTGGCCGCCCGCCCTGCTCTCAGCTGGCGGCCTCACCTTTCCATGACATGCAGCTTTGGATGCCTACAGCTAGTCCAACCGAAGAGGTCCTGGACAACGCGGTGGGCAGAGGGTGTCCAGGCCACGGGAACAGCAGGAGAGGGAAAAATGCGTGGACAGGTCCTCCACAGCACGCTAGTCCCTCTTGGGGTGTCACCAGAGCCCAGGAGGGCCCGGATGAGGAGACTGAGGCTGGAGGGGTGGTCATCATCCACCTTGTCCCCCGCTCCGGCCACACTGGCCTTATTCCTGACCTGGAACAGGCAGACTTTGGCACCTTGCTGCGAGCTGGGCCGCCCCCGACTCTACACATCCTCTGGGTACCTCCCCCGGTGTCTGCTCCAACTTGGATCAGTGGGGCCTCCCTGAACCCCAGTTGAGCAGGGCGCCCCTTCCCCAGCATTCTGATGGCCCGCCCTCCTGCATGACCGCTCTTCTCCACGGCTCAGCCCTTCCATCGTCGTCCATAACGTGGTTATTTGTTCTCTGCGCTTTACCCCGCGGCCCCTCTGGAACAGTCACACAGCAGGTGCCCGATGGAACTGGTCGGATGGATGGATGAAGGAGGATGGATGAGACCCACAGCCGCCACCCGCTCTGCACCTGCTCAGCGCCCACAGCTCCGTGAGGCACGAGGCGCCTGTCGTTTCCCCAGGCGAGGATACCCGAGTCAGAGAGGGCGCGTCCTCCCCAGGGGCACGGGGGTCTGCGTGAGCTCCGCCTCACCCCAAGCCCCCCTGGTTTCAACGCCCCCCCCCAGTGCTAGAATCGAGCCTAGTCTGGGCCCAGCAGATGAGGGGACGCCTCGCGGGGCTCACGCACCTCAGGAAGAGCTCTATGTGGACCACGGCCGGCGCGATCTTCTCCACCACGTCCGCGATGAAGTTGAACTTGTACCGCGGGCTGGTCAGGTGGTGGAGACCTACACTGGCAGGAAGAACCAGGTGCGTGAGGGAGACCCAGACACCACCCTGAACCCCGCCCAGGGTGAGGGACGAGGAGGCCCCACCTGAGACCCCACAGGGTTCAGAACCCTTGGGACACCCCATGCTCCGCGACGCAGTGACACCCAAACATTTGGGAAGGAGGGCGTGCTTGCCTCAAGAACGGTTAAAGCTGAGCTTCCTGACATCCCCAGGCTGGCAGGAGGCCCAGAGAGGTTAGGACACTCGCCCTGAGGCTGCACAGCAGTGACGTCATGCTCGGGCTGGATCTGAGCTGGTCCCCCTGGGCCCTTGCCTTTCTCTCATAAACAGCCATGTCCTGGCACAAGAACACGGTCCCCTCCCCTTGCTGGCTCTGGTCCAGCCCTCCAGCCCTTGGGCTGGTGCAGTGACGGATGAGGGTACAGCAGAAGCCCCAGGTGGTCCCTTCTGAGCTGTCCTCGCCTGGCCACAGTGTGGCCTCCTCCCGGGCCACTCTGGGCTGCCAAGGTCCGAGTTGCCAGGGCCCCCAATCTGCGCCTCACTTGGCCACGCCCCAGTCCGACTTGCCAGGCCTCAGATTTCTGCTGCTGTCAGCAGCGGGGGCTGCTGCCTGCCGCGACCACAGACGTGTGGGTGGCACGAGGCCCAGAGCCCTTTGGTCTCCCTGCTCAGGCATGCACTGAGGTCTCCCAGGTCCCTGCAAGAGGCGGGCGCCACCTGGAACCCACACTGCCCAGCGCACCTTGTAAGGGGCTCCTGGGGCCTGGAAGCAGCGTTGGAATGAGAGTTGAGCACCCTGGGCTGGGCTGAGCACCGCTGCCCTCCAGCTGTGTGGCTTCAGGCAAATCACTTACCCTCTCTGAGCCCCAACAGCTCATCGGAAAAATGAGACTGAAGATCCCCTTCCTGGACCCCCACCCCAGCCTGAGGGAACCGGGGATGAACATGACCTGCAAACTGTGAAGCTCCCTGCCCAGGGGGACCCACCACCCACCCTGCCACCCTGCCAGGTGTGAGCAAGGAGGGCCCGGCCTGAGGTGGCCAATGTTGCAGGCACTGCTTTTCTTGCTGATCTCTGGGAAGCGACTGAACATCAGGAGGGGAGGAAATCTGGTTCTCTGGATTGTCCGGAGGGAGAGGAGGCCAATGTGGAGAGCAGCCACGGGGCAGCCTGGGCCCGTGGTCAGGGCCGCACGCACTGCGGGCCAACGCAGCCTGACCTGCAGCCCCACCAACCTCCTGCTGGCCGAGGCCACTGTCTCCACTCTAAAGGGGGGAAACTGAGGCTCAGGGAGACACACTCCCTCGAACCAAGACACATGCCTGGCAGAGGAGGACCACCGGCCGCCCAGGGCTCCATTGCTTTGGGGCCCTTGCCTCCCCCCGCGGACCCCGCAAGGCCCTGAGTGTCCCTTCAGCCTGAGCTGGGACTTGGGGCCCACAGGAGAGCTGGCTGCAGGCTCTGCGGGGTCAGGGTGGCAAGGAGGGTGCACCCACCCGGCCGTGGAGGCCAGCCTGCTGTGGTCAGTGGAGTCGAGGGCTGCCTGCCGGGGCCGCCCGAGCCTAGCCGGGAGCCGGCAAACTGCGGGGCCTCTTCGGGAGGAAAAGCCCAGGCCGGGCAGGGTTCAAGGTTCAGAGGTCACGGTCAGGGGCAAGCCCCTCTGGGTATGTGTGCCCCCACACAGGATTGCAGGTCCTCCTGGAAGCTCAGCAGGTGAGGCCGGGCAGCGGTGGGCTGAGCCCGGCTGTGCGCCCCGAGGGGGGCGCTGTGCCATCCTGTCGGGCCTCCAGGCGGGGGAGGAAGGTGGGCACCAAGCCTGCGGTGCCAGCCTGGTTCTGGGACAGGACACGCGCCCGCCAGGCCGTCCCCACAGCCCCGACCCCCGAGGCCCCACCCCACGGCTCCTCCTTCGGAGGGAGGGCTGGCAGGTCGGCGGCTCCCCCACAGGCACCAGGCCCAGCCCGGCTGAGGCTCGTGCCCCCACCCCATGCTGTGCTGGGCACGCATGCGGGCGGGTGTCACCCCTTCCCACTGTGCAACCTGTTGAGTTTCTGCTCCATCAGCCACACTCTGTCGTCCCAGCCCAAGTCCCGCCTCCTCCAGGCAGCCCCCATAGGCTTCTCCCCGTCAGGGAGTGCGGGCCTCTCCCTCTCGGGGCTCCCAGCACCGGGCCTGGCCCACAGCACTCGCTTTGTGGGAGTGTATTCCGTCCACGCGTGCCAAGGGCCTTCCGGGCGCACCCTGCGCCAGGTCCAGGCCAGTGACCGGCCAGGCACAGCACGGTGTAACCAGCGAGGGGACAGAGGGAAACCAGCAGTGTCCCCAACCCGGGCCTGGAACAGTGTGTGCAAAGGCAGCGTCACGCATGAAGGCAGCTGCAGATGGACCTGGCAGGCTCCAAACTGGGCCCAGCCGGAAAACACAGGCGGAGGGAGGACGTGCCTGATGAGGGAGTCCTGAGCCGGGACTCAGCCTTCCACAGGGCGCTGGAAGGCTCTGCGCGGCCCTCCGCCTGGCCCAGGGCCGCAGGGCGAGTACAGACCCCGGCTCCACGCAGGCAGCTGAGGTCCCGACCCGACGGCCTCTGCCCCAAGGCTTCCCTTTCTAGTGTGGGCTCCGAGGAGAAGCCCGCCTGCCTCACCTCCAGCCCAGACACCAGCTCCTTCGGGACAGAGACAGGTCTGGCTCCTCCCACAGCTGAGCAGCAACCAGCACAGGGGAGCCCAGCAGCCTCAGGGAGGACAGGAAGGAGGGAGAGAGAGAGGGAAGGAGAGATGGAAGGAGGGAGGGAGGAGAAGAGGATCGAGGGAGGGAGGGAGAGGGGACAAGGATGCTGCCCTGACCCTCTCTGATGCAGCACACAGTAGGTCTACAAACTCCACCACAAAGAACACTGTTCAGCCTATTAACAAGTCCCGTGAGGAGCAGCCTCATAAGAGTGGCATCAGTGGCCCATCTTAGGTCCCAGGAAACTAAGGCTGGCAGCGGAGGTTGTTGTGATGGGGGGGGGGGGGCAGGCCTGCCCACTGGCCCCAGGTCCTGTGGACTTCAGAGCCCGCGCCCTCCCTGACCCTGGGGCCTGGGGCCCCCCAGGGTGGGCCGCTGATGCCACGGGGCCTGCCAGGCTCTGTCCCTTTAAGCCGCCGTGGTGGGTGGTGGGTGGGGGGTGGGGGGTGGGGCTGGGGGGCCGTTTCCTGGCCCTCCACAGGAGATGAGTCACCCCTGAATCAGTGGGCAGGGAGGCCTTCCCACCGCCTCCTTCCACACGAAAACCTCGGCCCAGGGCTGGGAAGCAGACTCTGTTTATTTGGGGGTTTTGACAACCCCACCCCCACCTCGTCCTCGAGCCAAAGCTCTGAAGTCAACAGTCAGCCTCGGCCAGATGCAGCTGGGAGCATTTTTTTTTGTTTTTCAAAAATAAACTGAAATCCACAGGCCTCGGAAGTTTCAGTCGGGAGGAGCTTGACACAGAGCAAAGCACTGGGGGCCAGGTGTCCGGCGGGGCCTCCAGGGAGAGGAAGGGGCGCAGCCAGGACAGGGACACTGGACAGGAGCCAGCTGGGAGAGGAGTGGGGCTGGGGCTCCACCACCAGCGTTCCTGCATCCTGACAGGGCTTCCAGAGGGCTGGGGACAGTGACAGTCCTGCAAGGGGACCACCATGTGCCAGCTCTGGACAGTCACGACTGCCATGGAACAGAGGGGGAAATGGAAGCCCAGAGCAGCAAAGCGACTGGCCTGGACACCCCATGGGGCTGCTCTGTACTGCTGCACAGGTGGCGTACTGCACAACTCCAGGAGCATTATTAGCAAAGATCACAGCGTGACTGGCTTCCCCTGGGGTTGTACAGTGCACAGCCTGCTCAACTCTATGCAGTGCCCCTCCAGCTCATAGTGGGGAGAACCAGGACCGAGACCCAGTTCTGTTCCTCTAACTCCAAGGTCATTGCCCCTTCTTCTATTGCCCCCTGCAATCTGAAGCCCCTCTGTCACCCAGTGGTTAGCTATGAGCTGGGGAGGAGGGGCCGTCAGCGGATGACCGCGAGGTCCCAGGCTGCGTCCATCTGTCTACAATGCTGACCACAGCCTGCAGACCAGACGGCACCTTCTTAGCAGCGCAGGAAGGACCTGGGTGTCCGGGTCCCACTGACACCTGGAGCCTCATCTACTGCCATTCTCCCCTCGGTGCCCTCGGCTCCCGTTCCCTAAGCACGTGCTCCTAAGCGTCCCCGTGCCTTTGCATAGTCAAGTCCCCCTGCACGCCCAGACAGCACACCTCCTCCGGGCGCTGCCCTGACCCGACAGGCTGCGACCGCTCTCTGCCTCTGCCTCCCACAGCACCTCGTAAGCCCCCAAGGCTTGTCCCTCTGGACTGTCCCGCGGCCTGGGCGCTGCGAGCAGCAGGAACATGAGCGAGTGAGCGAGCAGGGGTGTGAATGTCCTGTGGGGTCAGAGGAGTGGTCCTGGGGGGGTGGGGGGGCTGCCTTCACGGCCTCCAGCCCCAGGCCCAGCGCCCACGAGGGGCGGGCTTTGAAGCCCCAGGCAGCCTCCGGTCTAATTAGCTCCGAGGCTGGCTCCTTGTGTTTTTCTTTCTCTTGAAGACTCGCCTGTCCCCAAGTGACCCATCTTCCCCAGCCGCGGATGGTGGCTTCAGATCCCGCGGTGGCTCCCGGGGGGGGCCGTGCTGCTGTCTGCAGCCCTCGGGCCCCAGGCTCCCGTCCCTGGAAGGCAGGGCCGAGGGCTGCAGCCCAGGCCGAGCGTCACGCCGCCTCCTCTGCCAGGGTCCAGGGCCGAATCCTCGCAGCAACTCTGCAAGGCGGGAGCGGTCAGCCCACTTTGCAGAGCGGGGAACAGGCTCAGGGGGGTCACAAGACCCACCCAAGGCCCGCGGCCAGCTCCCTTGACCCCCGACCTCTGTCACTTCCCCTACTCCGTGCTGGTCCTCGGCCAGCGTGACTGGCTGTGCGGCCCCCAGGGGAGCCCAGCCTCGGCCAGCC